GGTATGGGTGCTTCAAACAGCAACAAGGATCATATTATTTGTAGATTCCTTATCAACTAATGATACTAATGGTAATTGAATTAAATTGTTTCTTGCTTGCCAGATATTATGATTGAGGTCAGTGAAAGGGAGAAACAAGCAGGAATTGTTCCAGACCCAGACATAGATACTTACATGAAGGTAATTTTGGTTTCTCTGGTCTTCTTTTTTTCCCATGTTTCTGATAACAGATGACAAAACTTGTGTATATTGATTAATCAAAAGAATTACAATATATAAACGAAACCCTAATAATCCCTAATAATCTAAAGTACTAAACTATCCTTAATGAATAATATAAACTACATAATTCACACCCCCCCTCAAACTGAGGATGCGAGCGCAGAAAGCATCGAAAGTTTGCCAAGAAGAAAACGAAAACGAGCAACAGTATGAGTCTTCGTAAAAAAATCGGCAAACTGAAGAGATGAGGGAACAAAAGGGAGAGTAATAGTGCCAGCCTGAAGATGCTGTCTGACAAAGTGACAATCTATTTCAACATGCTTTGTCCGCTCATGAAAGACGGAATTATGGGCAATCTGGACAGCACTCTGATTATCACAATACAACGGAGTCGGATCAGAAAGAGAGACACCCATATCAGAAAGAAGCCAGCGAAGCCAAACGATCTCGGAAGTAGCATAAGCCATGGCACGATACTCAGCCTCAGCAGTGGAACGAGCAACAACAGATTGTTTCTTACTCTTCCAGGATATAAGGGAATCGCCAAGGAAAACACAAAGACCAGAAGTGGATTTGCGATCAGAGATGTCACCTGCCCAATCAGCGTCAGCATAGGCACGGAGAGTCAAGTCCGAAGAGGCAGATAACAGCAAACATTGCAACAAAGTGCCACGAAGGTAGCGCAAAGTACGAAGTAAGGCAGCCCAGTGTGTGGAACGAGGAGCAGAAACAAACTGACTGAGAATGTGCACAGCATAGGAGATATCCAGACGAGTAACGGTGAGATAAACAAGGCACCCAACCAACTCGCGATACAAAGTGGGATCCTCAAGAGGAACGCCATCAGAAGCAGAAAACTTAGCATGCAACTCAAGAGGAGTGTCAACAATTTTCTCATCAGTGAGATTGGCACGAGAAAGAATATCACGGGCATATTTAGTCTGAGAGAGAAGATAACCAGTAGGAGAAGTAGCAACCTCAATACCAAGAAAATACCGAAGAAATCCCAAATCCTTCATCTCGAACTCCTGAAACAACTGATGCTTAACCTCCTCAATAGTACTGTAATCAGAGCCAGTGATGATCATATCATCCACATATAAGAGAAGGAGAATAAGCCCAACAGAAGTGCGTCGAACAAAGAGAGCGCAATCATGATGACTAGGGCGAAAACCAAGCTGAAGGGCAACAGAGTGAAATCGCTCATACCAAGCACGAGGAGACTGCTTGAGACCATATAGAGCACGGCGAAGACGACAAACAACACCAGGAGGGTGAGAGAGACCCGGTGGAGGGCGCATATACACTTCTTCAGCAAGATGCCCATTCAGAAAAGCATTTTTGACATCTAGTTGAAACAAGGGCCAATGATGGGCAGCAGCAACAGAGATAAGAGTACGAACAGTAGTCATCTTGGCAACGGGGGCAAAAGTCTCATCGTAATCAATTCCATACTCCTGAGAAAAGCCTTGGGCAACTAGACGAGCTTTGTACCGTTCCAAAGACCCATCAGAAAGGGTTTTGACCTTATAGACCCATTTACAGCCTACAACATTCTTGTCAGCAGGTAATGGAACCAAATCCCAAGTCTGAGTGTTAGCCAAAGCAGTTAACTCATCATTCATGGCAACAATCCAATTGGGATCATGACAAGCTTCCTTGTAGGACCTGGGCTCAAAATATATATGAAGACAAGAAAGAAAAGACTGATAAGAAAGGGAAAAACATGTATTACCAAAACCATACCACTTCGGAGGATGACGGTCTCGCTGTGGAAAATGGTGTGCAGGAGGAGCGGGATCCAAAGAAGCAGCTGAAGGGACAATAGAGCTAGAGACAGGCGAGGTCGGAAGTGCTTTGCGGCGCTGATAAACAAGAAGAGGAGCAGAGGAAGTAGGAGCTGAAGAGAAAGTAGCTGGCAAGATATCATAAGTGCTAGTAAGAGGCAAAGTAGAGACCTCAAGATCAGAAACAAACTCATCAGGAGAAACATTAGGAGGAAATGGGTCAACATGAACCAATTCATCCTTAGTAATAGGAACATGGGTGGAAGGTATAGTATCGTAGGGTAGTTTTTCTAAAAAAGTGACATGCCTAGACACATATAGCTTTTTGGTGGCAGGATCATAGCACCGATAACCTTTTTGATTAATGTCATACCCTAAAAAGACACATAGGACACAACGAGAACTAAGCTTGGAGCGCGCCCGTTTAGGAAGGAGCACAAAGCATGCAGAACCAAAAATACGAAGAAGAGAATAATTGGGAGTAACACCAAAAAGACGCTCATACGGAGATGAGCCTGAGAGAAGAGGAGTAGGCATCCGATTGAGAAGATATGCAGCAGTGAGCACAGCTTCTCTCCAAAAAACAGAAGGGACAAAAGATGAGAGCAACAAAGAGCGAGCTGTATCAAGGAGATGGCGATGTTTGCACTCAGCTCGACCATTTTGTGCAGGAGTGTCAGAACATGAAGACTGATGAATAGTTCTATGAGTAGCTAAATACTCCTCAAACTCAGACAAGTAATACTCACCCCCCAAATCAGAACGAAGGATTTTAATGGTGGTAGAAAATTGAGTGCGAATCATGGAGTGAAAATTAGAATATATTTTGTAAAAATCAGATTTTCGAGTCATCAAATAAACCCAAGTAAACCGACTATAATCATCCACAAAAGCTACATAATATTGCGAACCACCTTTGGTAACTATAGGGGATGGACCCCAAACATCAGTATGGACCAATTGAAAAGGAGAAGATGAAATAGAACTACTTTTATTAAAAGGAAGAGCAGACATTTTAGCCAGTTTACAACCACGACACTCAGAAATATCACTAATGGGAAAATTGCCTAAATGTCCAGACCTAACTAACATCCTCAACCGATCACTCGACAGATGACCTAACCTAGAATGCCAAATATAAACAAAGATGACTTATTGTTTAAATAAAAAGAAGACAATGCAGTAGAAGACACTTTTAGAGGAACATGCAAGCTCTCCAAGATATATAGTTCTCTAACTCTACGCCGATTCCACTCTGCCTCTTGGATACCCGGTCCTGTACAACACAATGAGAAGAAGAGAAAACAACATCAAAACCGGAATCAGATAATTGACTAATAGAAATAAGACAGAGTGAGAGGTGAGGCACATAAAATACAGGAGAAAGAGACAAATGGGAGCAGGAAATAGAACCAACAGAGTGTACAGGCATAGAAGAACCATTAGCAGTAGCAATAGTGATAGAAGAAGAAGGAGAGACACAATTACTGAGGAGAGATGCAACAGGGGTCATATGATGTGAACAACCAGAATCAAAGATCCACGAAGTATGGTTATTACCTGAAGAGGATGAACCAGACAAATCGAACTGAGTGGTAGTCATAGCGGAGGCTTGGGACGAAAGATTTGGATTGGCCACCATGAAAGACTTGAACTGCTCAAACATAGACTGCATATTGGAAGATGGATCATTCTCAGAAACTGGTGCAGAAAAGGCGGCAGATGAGCGAGATCCTGAAAATGTCGGCTTAGCGAATGGTGAACCAAATGAACGACCCTTGGGCTGCAAAAGTTTAGGACATGCATGTTTCCAATGGCCTTTTTGATGACAGAAGCTGCACTCATCCATGGAAACCCGAGGCTTGGGCTTACCAGTAACTTGAAATAAATGAGAAGATGGGGTGGGCAAAAGCGGAGGAGTGGCAAAAACTGACTGGGAAGCAGGAGTACCATAAGCCACCTTAAACCGAGTTTCTTCCGCAATAAGCTCACGGACAGCACCATCCACAGAAGGCAAGGGAGACTGATGAAGAATAGCTCCCCGAAGTGGCTCAAATTGATCACGAAGGGCCATGAGAAATTGAACAAGATGTTGTTTCTCCCGATACTTGATATTACTGTCAAGTAACTGCAAATCGGACGGTTCCATCAAAGCAACTGATCCCAATAAGTAGTCATCTCATTGTAGAACTCCTGAATGGACTTATCTTTCTGACTAGCACTGCGAATAGACATCTCAAGTTCATACTGCTTTGCAAAGTTAGACTCAAGGTACATAGTCTTCAAATAGTCCCAAACTTGTTTAGAAGTAGAATACTTGGAAAAATTCATACCAATGGTAGTTTGAACTGAATTATGAAACCAAGTAAGAATTTGTGCATTTTCCTTATCCCATTTAGCAACATCAGCCTCAGTTTCTTGAGATTCCACAGGTCTAATAGTCGTACCAATAACATAATTCCACATACCTTTACCCATTATAAAATTTTTCATCACATGAGACCAATAAGAATAATTGGTACCATCTAATTTAGTAGTAATAGCTTGCAATTTATCATCAGCCATATTGTATACCCAAACTACAGTGCATTCAAAACAGAGTGAAAGGCAGCAGAAGAGAGAGAGAGAGAGAGATGAATGACCTGTCAAGAGTAGCAATGCACTCTTCTCATAACCACGGCAACCTATACACCAGAGAGCAGTGATGGAGGTTCACCGTTTACGAGAGCTAGGTCGAAATAGAGAGAAGATCAGCAAGATACCCAACCTAGGTCTCCGAATAAACCAGGGACCAGCGATGGAAGCTTCCTAGGGTTTCGATTGAACCAGAACCAAAACCAGCAAGTGAGACGAGCTGTTTCGATGATGACCTTGCGAAGAAAGAGGCAGAGCTGCGAGAAGAGCTGCTTTGATGACCTTGCGAAGAGAGAGACAGAGCTGCGATGGCCTTGCGATTGAAGGAGAGAGAGCTGCGATGTGCGATGAGAGACAGAGCTGCGATGGTCGATGATGACCTGCGAGGTATGCTACTGTTTGTAACCTTGCTCTGATACCATGATAACAGATGACAAAACTTGTGTATATAGATTAATCAAAAGAATTACAAAATATATAAACGAAACCCTAATAATCCCTAATAATCTAAAGTACTAAACTATCCTTAATGAATAATATAAACTACATAATTCACACACTCTGACATGAAAAAAGTTTATAATATCTCTTCAATTTATATGCCATTTAATTTGTAACCTTTTCTCCCTTTGGATTCCAGACAGTAAAGAAGGGGGACACTATTTTTGTGGGGCAGTATCTCTTCACGGGAATTGAAACCACCTCTGTATGGCTGGAGGTGAGAACTACAGTTGATGCTTCTTCATGCTTACTTATTGAAAGTATGGATTTGGGCACTCAGATTGATCTGATAGTTCTGTTGGACTATCATGCAGGTTTTGGAGATAAGGGGCCCAGATATCATATGTCTAGTCAAGAACAGCGCATCCCTTGTAGGATTTGTTTTTACCATGCATGTTTCCCAAGTCCATATTGATTTGCCTACTTTAACAGACGTTGATAGACAGGTAATGCTGGTTTTGCTAGAATCACCTTGTTTGATTCTAGGTCCTCTGCTAATGAGACGGTTTCTCGGCAATTGTTAACTATAGAAAATTATATAGCTATTAACAACTAATTCAGGCTTTATATTAGTACTTGAGTGACAAAACTTGTCTCCCCAATGATGTTCTAAATAATGAGGGAAATCAATCTGCAAAGAAAAAGTTTCATTGTTCAGTTTCTGATACAAATAATACCACAAAAGGAGAACAGTTTTGATACTTGGGCTTTGATTCTTCTTAGGAACGTAGATTTCCTGTTAATAAAAAAAAAAAAAGTTGGATAAGTTTGCGGAGGAACACTTTTTCATATTGTCCATCAATGTACACTGTGAATCTAAAAGAAAATCTTATGGAACAGCTGTAAGACGAACCATATTCTATGAGATTAAATGCTGGGTAGCTAATTTTTATTTTTTCATAAAACAAACATGGCCTAAATTATGGTTTTAAATAACAATATTAACAGACGTGCATCGGTATCGATGATACGATCATATATCAGCCGATATCAGATAGTATTGACCGGTGAATCAATGAATAACGGTATCAGAAGGCCAAAATAGTGTTATGTAATGGTTGATACGATATGTTACGGCTGAAATTTAAAACCCTGCTAAATGCAGATATTGAGACTGATGTGTGATGAGAGAGAATAGGCTTCAGTCAGAATGTGACAGAAAAATGGGAAACTTCGAGATAAAATGATTTTTTTTTTAAATTTTTGATATGTAGAATGGTTTTGTCATGTGCAAATAACATGAATAATTGTAGCAATGAGGTGGACTCACTATACACATTGAGGGAAATGCTAAGGGAAATAGACAACTGAAATTGATATGAGTTGAGATAGGAAGGGGAACCATGGTAGCATGTAGATCAATTGAATTTAAGCCCTTGATAAAGTTGAATGACAAATAAGATTCATGTAATCGATGCCAAATAATGTGACAAGGCTTTGTATTGCATTAAGTAAGTTTCTAGTCATCTTTTGGTCACTTGGAAAGCTTTTGACCTTATGTAATCATGGAGTGTAGAATTAATTGCAATTCACTTTGACTAGAGATGGTCCAAATTCAAGTTGGGTTTTGCCTTGAATATTTATTTGTTTTTTCTTGCTATGTATGTTGGATACTTGAAATATGTTGTTAATCAAGTTAATTATTTATTTATTTGTCACAAAAGTTTTTGAAAACTAGAAATAGGTTTATCTTTTAATCTGCAAACTGAAGCTAGAAGGAATTTTTTCTTCATTTTAGAGCTCCTAATTTCCAACTATTCTCCCTTCTCTGTCAATATCCTACCTGAAATGTGTAAAGAACTGACAATTGTGTATGATAAAAATCTCTTAATCTCTTAAGAGAAAGATCTCTAACATGTTCATGCTGTACGGAAGCTTTTATTGGCTGTTAACTGCTAGATATTTGTGCGATAGTATGCTCTCTCTCTCTCTCACACTCATAAATTTGTAATCATCATAGGCTATATCAAATTGGGGGACTCGTAACAAAGTTGACTTCATTTCACTTGCATATACACGACATGTAGAAGATGTTCGAGAGGTCAGTTTATTTTTTATTGTCTTTATTGTTCTTGACATTATTCTTGTTTCTTAGGCTTTGGCATCATTTCTTCCCTTTAACAGGTCTGGTGATTTATGAAGTTTCTCCATGCTTTATACTTTAATGAGAAATAGTTTTACTTTTCTTCCTAAATTAAGATTATGCTTGTCTTATGTTATAGGCTTATAGTCTAAGAAGCATGGACACGGATACAACACACGAGTACGGACATGGGACATAGTGATTTTAAAAAATTAGGATACAACGGCAAGGATACAACAACAACAAAATATATATATATTTTTATATTTTTTCATTTGCTATGCATATGAATAAAGATTAGGCCAGAGAGATAAGAGAGACATAGATGTATATTTAGGTGTATTTAGATGCATATGTATTTTTGTTTTTGTTTTTGTTTTTTCCATATTTAGGTGTATTTTTGTTTTTTCCATATATTTCACTTTGGCCTCAAATCAGCTTTCTGAAATTATAAAAATAAATAAATAAACAAAAATCAACAAAGTTGTCTTGGGACATATCCAAACACAGGACATGTGTGTTAGTGAGGTGTCCCCAACTCGGTAGATCTAGCAATGCTTTCAGGTGAATTGGCTTCCAAATTAAGCCTGTCAAAAATAAGTCTGATGGCAGCACCTACTGAGGGAGGGCAATAGCTGTGCTGATTACACAGAACATGTTAGTCTGGCTTTGAGTGATACCTAATTTATCTCCATTTTCACCTTTGCTACTAAGAGTCTTTCCCAAGTGAGGGAGAGATCATCTTTGAAGTGGTTTTATTGTTTCAGTTCTACCCATATTTGTTTCATGGATTCGTCAGGTCAGCTACATATTTTGAGTGTCAAATTCTTCTAATCCCAAGTTTTAAGGGCACAAAAGTGTGGCTAAATTTTTAATTTTCTTTTCTTATTTAACATAGAGACTTAAAGTAAAATGAAGTGTGTGCATTTTAACTCATTGTGAAGCAACTATGTCAGGAAAATAAAATTATGAGAAGTTTTTCGTAACTTCTAATGCACTTGAATTATCCTTCGGTGTGCATCCAACTAGACATGTTGGATATGCATCCTGTTCCCTTAGCCGAATCTTGTGTCTAACACAAACATTTCATGCATTTATAAGAGTCATATATGATATAACAAAGACCCTTATGTTGTGTTTAGTTCATGAATTTGTGTAGGGATTTGGAAAGGGAAAGGGAAAGGGAAAACTAGGGAAAATGTGAATGAAATATATGAGGTGCTTGATAAATTCAAGATTTTTAAGACAGAAGTGGAAAATCAGTGTAATGTCAAAATAAAGAGACTTAGGTTTGATAGAGGTGGTGAATACCATTTTTCAGAATATTGTGAAAATGTTGGTATTATTCATGAGAAGTTTGTACCCTACACACCACAACAAAATGGAGTAGCTGAAAGAAAGAATAGGACATTAACAGAAATAGTTAATGTCATGCTTTCTTACTCCAGCTTAAGTTCTAGTTTTTGGGGTGAAGCCTTGTTCATTGTCTGTCACATACTCAATAGAATTCCTCTCAAGGGAAGAAATGTTACTCCTTATGAACTTTGGAAAAACAAAAACCTAATCTAAGTTACTTGAAAACGCAGGGCTGTAGAGCAATAGTCAAATTGCCTGAACTTAAAAAGAAGAAATTAGGTGAAAAAGAAATTGAATGCATATTCCTTGGTTATGCTATACATAGCAAAGCATATAGATTTCTGGTAGTAAAGCCCAATGATTCAGTGGAAACAAATACCATCATTGAATCACGTGATGCGGTATTTTATGAGAATCGTTTCACAATCATTCCAAGGTTGATTCTAATCAAGGAAATGAATCAACTCCTTTGATGTCTATAGATTGAGCCTAATGAACCTAATGAGCCTGTTGAGCTAAGGAGGAGTAAGAGGGCTAGGACCGAGAAGTCATTTGGCCCTGATTTCATTGTTTACCTTGTAGAAGGAACTAGGAAAACTTATTTTAAGCAAACAATGATTTCTTTGAATATGGATTCAAATCCATTAACCTTTGAGGAGGCTATGAAGTCTCAAGATGTTGCTTTCTAGAAAGAAGCAATAAACGATGAGATGGATTCTATCATGGGTAACAATACCTGAATATTTGCTAATTTGCTACCTGGATCCAAACCAATTGGTTGTAGATGAATTTTCAAAAGGAAAATAAAAGTTGATGGCACAATTGACAAGTTCAACATAAGATTAGTTGCTAAGGGTTTTCTCAAAATGAGGGTATTGATTATTTTGATATATATGCTTCGGTGTCCAGAATTGCCAACATTCGAGTGTTGATTGCCTTAGCCTCAATCTACAAGCTTGAAATCCATCAAATAGATGTTAAGACTGTTTTCCTAAATGAAGAGTTAGATGAGGAAATCTACATGCAACAATCGAAAGGATTTGTTGTACAGGGTCAAGAACACAAAGTGTGTAAACTCATGAAGTCACTATATGGGTTGAAACAAGCTCCAAAACAGTGGTATGAGAAATTTGATAAAGTAATATTGTCAACTGGTTTTAGGATATATGAATCTGATAAGTGTATGTACAATAAGTTTACTGGCAATAGAGGTGTAATCATATGCCTATATGTAGATGACATGCTTATTTTTTATACTGACAATGATGTCATTGAGAGAACTAAAAATTTCTTGTCTTCTAGCTTTAGTATGAAAGACATGGGATTAGCTGATATAATTATGGATATAGAGATCAAACGAAAGGACAATAATTTGATTGTTACTCAGTTGCCCTATATTGAGAAAATTTTTAAGAAATTTAATCAATATAATTGTACACCCATGTCTAAACCTTTTGATTCAAATTTAAAATTGTATCCTAATACTGGAAAAGCTGTTGATCAGCTAGAATATTCAAGAGTGATAGGTAGCCTAATGTATGCCATGACTTGCACTAGACCTGATATTGCATTTGCAGTGGGAAAACTTAGTAGATACACTAGTAATCCCAATAGTGTGCATTGGCATGCTGTTAACCGAATTCTTAGGTACTTGAGGAAAAAGATAGACTATGGAATAGTCTATAATGGCTATCCAACAGTGCTGAAAGGATTCACTGATACTAGTTGGATAACTATCCATGAAGATCATTTGTTCACGAGTGGTTGGATTTTTATTCTTGCAGGAGGAGCTATCTCTTGGAGTTCTAAGAAGCAAACATGCATAACAGACTCAACCATGGCGTTAGAATTTGTAGCATTGGCTTCTTGTAGCAAAGAGGCAGAGTGGCTAAGGAATCTCTTGATAGAGATTAAGATATGGCCAAAACCTATGCCACCAATATCTTTATATTGTGATAGTGAAACAACTCTATCACGGGCCAATAGCCATGTCTATAATGGAAAGTCCAGGTATATAGGACTGAGACATAGCTGTGTTAGGCAGTTAATCACTAGAGGTGTGATTACCATTAGTTATGTAAAGTCAAGTGAAAACTTAGTTGATCCCTTGACAAAGGGACTTGCAAGGGATTTGGTGTGGAAAACATCAAAGGAGATGGGTCTTAAGCCCACTTAACATTATCACTCCTGGTGGAAACTCGACTCAACGCTTGAAAAAGCATCAAGTCTTGAGTTCAATGAGCCTAAATACACCATATGTCGTGATTGCAAGCACTTAGTTTTATTTCATTTTCATCCCAAGGTTGAACTGCTTGGTACCTGTAATGTGGAAAGAAGATGATGAGTTAGCAAACTCTTAATAAGCTTACAATTGGGTTGTTAGGGTATTGTAAATTACAGAAGTACTCTCAGTAAGCTTACTTATGTGAGTGTAGGAGGTGGTGCCACTTCCTATGAGTCCAAGGGTTTGACTCTAGAGCGCTCATGAAACAGGATAAAAACACAAGGCCAATCCTTGTGTCGGTTTGTTTGAATACTTGAGGTATTTGTACTGTGTGTAAGACATGTTCAGTTAGTCGTATAAGATCACTAGTTCAAAGACAAGTCTACTATGCCATTTTGACTAACTTTGAGGTGTCTTTACTAAGTGAATGATTCAAATCGTAAGATATCTTCACCTATGCATAAGGCTACCAAGTGAACCAAGAGTCATCATCTGATATTTTGAAAATGGTGGGGGAATGTTGGGAAATTTTCAAAATGGGTTTTCAAAATTTATTGTTTAGTTCTTGGGTGTTTTCAAAACCTTCCTTGTTTTTCTTTGGAAAGATTGAAATAAGCTTGGGGACATTGTCCCGCATCGAAAAGAGAGGAAAATATGAACCACTTAATAAAGTGCTACATGGAATATTCCTTTGAATATGGAATTGTGGGATGGATGCTAGTTTACATGCACTCACTCCGCACACGCGCACAAGGCGCCATGAGGGAATTTTTCTATTTGTATCGGACAGGTTGGAGTGATGATGTGGATCCAACGTGGCATAAGTGACATGGAATATAGTCAGCTTCACGTGGCAGTGATGTGGCGTCCATTGGTAGTGAGTCAACTAACTGATTGAAAGGTTGCATATCCGATCTGGAGCGGTTTGATCATAGCCATTGATTGGAGATGCGCACGATCGTGCGGATGAGATGACACACGATCATGATCAGGTATGATCAGTCAATGCATCTATTTAGTGTGAGAATGATCTGCACCATAGATCGTCGATCCAACGATTAGATCTGATCGGATGCGATCCAGGGACATGACCATTCAATCAGATGCATCAAGGCCTATAAATAGGCTGCGAAATCAGCCATTTCAATCCATCCAAAAACTCAGAAATCATTCCTGCAATTCTCTCTCTCTTCCTCTTGATTTAGAGTTTTCAATCAAAAGTTTCTTAAGCAAGTTTCTGCTTTTCTTATTGATAATCAAATTCTGAAAACTTGATTACCAGTGTCTTGGTTTTCTTGATTATATTAAGAGTATTATGATTTACTGTCGTCAGTGCAGATGCCGGTAGACTTGATCTTTAGATCCAGCTTCATTATATTTTGGAGGCGAATTTGCTGTAACCCCCTGTACACCTTTTTGGTGGGTGCAAATATTGTCTTTAGGAAAG